TAATAATAACAGAAGCAAGAAACACTGTGACTCATTGATGTGAGTGTAAAGTGAAGGGATGTGAATACTTTATGAGTCCTGGTCATGTGTGCAGCTCCCAACACTGTTTCTCACTCACTGCTTTTCTTTCTGCCTCCTCATCCTTTACAGAAACACACACACACACACACACACACACACACACACACACACACACACACACAAACAGCCTTTAGCCTTCAGTCATCAGAGCTTCTCTCTCAGCTATTGTCTGGGTTCATTCGTAATATCTGGGTTAGGGATTTGTGTACATGTGCGTGTGAGCAGGAGTGTGTGTGTGTGTGTGCATACAGTAAAGGTGTGTGTCTACATCTCCACAGTGATATAACAGAGAGCAGGTCATCCCAGCAGCCATCACATCTCATTTACCCTCCTCCTCCTCCTCCTCCTCCTCCTCCTCGTTCTCCTCTCTTTCTCACCCCCCTCGTTGTTTATCACTCTCTCTCTCTCTCTCAGACCCAAAACACACCTGCAGAAGCTCACTCACCTTGGTCCGAGTGAGACGGCAACCCATTCTGCCTTTGCCCTCGGACAGGTCAGAGTTAGGAGGAGCAGAGAGGAGAAAATGGTGGGGAAATGGTGAGTATGACAGGAAAAGAAAAGGAATAAGATGGAGAGATCAGACGAAAGAAACTGCAGAGGAGAGGAAGGAAAAGGGCAGAAGAGGGTTCAAAAGCATGAGAACGAAAGACGGCGAGAGAATAGAAAGAAAGAGAGAGAGAGAGAGAGAGTTTGTTGAGCCTCGTCCGCCCACCAGCTCACATCTCCAAACTCTGAAAACCCACAATCCCTGGCTAATCAGCTGTCCTCCTGTGCTGCTGAGGAAACTACAGCTCCCATGATGCTGCGGTGTAAACAGCAGCAGCAGCAGTCGGTGGGAAGCAGGTCCATCGCATTAAACCCCTCTCTCCTCAGGAATGAGAAATAATCATGGGCGAGCAAACTGCAGCAGGAGCAGCACACAGCGGGACGAGCGAGACAGAGAATGAATGGAAGAGAGAGAGAGAGAGCGGTACATGTAACGAGCAGAGCTGTCTTCATCTGACTGTTTCTTCCCTTTCTCTCTGTGTTCTTCTCTCTCTCTCTGCAGCTCGGCTCCTGCTGGCCAATCACAGTGGCTGGATGCAGGAGGAGGGAAACATTTGCTGTGATTGGTCAAAGGAAGTGTCAGCTGAAGCATCCATTCAACGTTTTCTCTCCCCTCTGCTCCTCTCTCTCTCTCTCGTTCTCTGTATTTTGTTGGTCTGTCCTTTGTTTCACTCGCTCTTCTTCACACGGTGCTTTTTCTCTCGTCCCCATCTGTCTCAGAAAGCCCACAGCAGTGTGTGTGTGTGTGTGTGTGTGTGTGTGTGTGTGTGTGTGTGTGACTCCACCAGACCCTTTTTAGCCTTCATAACTCACATGTTCAGAAATGAAAGTGCACTTTGATGTCCTGTAATATGGACGTTATTTAGCATGAAAGTACATTTAGCACAGCTTCATTTAGAGTTAAAGCTGGACAGAAAACAGTCCAACCCCGTTTGAACACTACACCTTAATCTAAAAAATAATATAAATATATATATATATATATATATAACCCAACATAACAGAGATCCTGGTACTCTCATGCTGCTATATTTGGCGATAGAAACATGGAATTTCTCTCTAGTGGGGAAGGCGTCATGATCAAGCTTTCAGTCTAAGTTCAACATTTTAGTTTATTTTTTTGTTTGTAAGTTATATTATAATTATCATCTAGTTTCAGATTTCCTGTCTTTCCTCTATTTGTCTCTTAAGTCTGTATTTCTTTGTTAGACCTGCTGTTACTTCCTGTTTTATTTTGTTACCCTCTCGTCTCGTCTCGTGTAACAAGTCTGTTTAGTTTTGCTTGTGTTTCCTGCTGTGTGTGATTTCCCCGCCTGTTTTCCCTTCCCTGATCATTCCAGTGTATTAAGAGCCTCAGTTTGTGGTAGTTTCCTCCTTACTTTATGCACATTGTTTCCTGCTTGTTGTTGGATTTCAGTTTTATTAACTTTATCTCCCAAATCTGGATTTTGGATCTGATTTTTCCCACTACATCTGACTGAAGGATCCTGAGCTAGTGTGTGGTTGAATGATTTTACCTACATATGATCAGAAGTGACCAAAGAAAGA